AACTGAGACAACTCAGCTATTATTTGAAAGAAAGGTATTTAACCTTTTGGTCCTTTATTTAATTGAAACAGAATGATATGTGAACTGATTCCGCTCAAAATGAAAACTATTGATAGCAGCCACAATGCTGCCGAAAGATAGTTTTTGTTTATTATCAAGTTTCTGTGAGCGTTTTGTCAACGAAAACTCAGCGATTATTGCCGTCACTGGATGCTGTTTATCGCTCTTCCATCTTGCCTGTTTTAAATCCGCTGTGTTTTTGACGCGAATATGACACGTAGAAAGACCAAGAGACTCTTGAAGAGAGCCTGTATGTTTGTAGGAGTTGGAATACTGATTTTATCGCCGTTTTTCCTGTTACCACACTTGAGTTCACAATCAAAAGACAAAACCAAGCTTGGTCCACACATGCAAGTCAAAGAGTCACGCCAGTTGAAGACGGCAAAGAAACAGACCCGTCTTCAAACAGAAAATCCCATCACTTTGCCTAAAGCGAGTGAAGTTTTAGACGAAGACTTGCTGCCAGAAGATTTCTTTCCTCCTCAAGTATCACGTTACGAAATCTGCGCGAACATCCGCGAAACTGAAAAGTTACAATTTCACGAGCTTCAGGAAGGGAGTGTCGTATATTCAGCATTTTTGGACTACAGATTCAGAGAGCAGAGTTTCATTCGTATGATTTCCATTTTGCCGTCCTACGACGAATCAACTCAAATGTATTGTCACTTCGTGGACTCGAGAACACACGAATTCTTTACCAGCGTTGTGGAAATCGAGGAATTTGGAACAAACGAGGGTTACTCCTTTCAAGGGTTTCTCTCATCATGTGATATACCAGAAGAAATAGACAGTTATACTTTATGCTCGGTCAATATTTCTACAGAGCCCGAATCGTACCGTCAGACGGACAGAAACACCAAAGAAATTCCCATACATGTTACGGACCACACGGTAAATATGGAAACGTATGGACTTTGCGTTCCACCAATAACTGGCGAAATATCTGTCCCGCAAATGGTTGAATTCATAGAGCTATCCCAGATTCTGGGCGTGTCCCACGTCACGTTTTATGACTCAAGAGTCTCGGACAAAACCCGGGAAGTTCNCAATTGAAGAGTTGTCAAGATGTGTTGCCTCTCCCAAAAAGGTTATTTCTTTAGATTTAAATACAATCTCAAATACGGCAAAAGATTATTACACCACTCGTCAAGTGGAAGCGGGCCTCGGTAACGTGTTCTATTATGGGAAATGCAATAACAGGGAGTGGGACTGTGGTGACCCTCACGAGGACCACACAATGGAGAAATATCGCAAAGAACTAGAAATTAAATTTAATGCAACAATGACTTATTTAAGGCATCAAGGACCGGCATAAAACTAGGGTCAGTTAGGAAATATAGGTAGCTAACAGTGGCAGATCTAGGGGAGGGGCCCGGTGTCCCTGGCCCCACCCCCCTTATTTTGGGTAAAAAAAAGCGCTGAAGGAGGAAAAGCCGGCAGGCAAGCAACCCCCCCTCCCCTCCCCCCCTTGCTCAAGGTCTGGATTCGCCACTGACTAATAAGAGAATCAAATGTTTTATTTATTAAACTTTCTACTCTACTCTTCTACTTCTTACTATTTAGGGCACCCTTTTATTATTATAATTGAGCTCAAAATCCTCATTGTTTCATTTTGCAACAAATTGGAAAAAACAAAAGAAAACCTCTGAAAAGTGCTGCTCAGTAGCCTTCATTTGAATATGGAATTAGTGATCTTTCTTAAGATTAGAACCTTCCAATACAGCATAATA